CTAGCTATGTTTACAGTGTTTATTATAATGTTTGTAAACATTTCGCGTCAGCATTAGGCCTATTTCTGAATGAAATAATAAAATGCGACTTATACAAATTTTTTTATATGCGCGTTGTGTAGCGTATTTTAACCATGCAGCAAACTTTATTAAATATTTTGATAAATTACTGAAAAAAAATAAAAAAATAAATGACTTTTTAAACCGTTTAACTGATTGCATTAATCGGTCAAAAATTCTTACGGTCGGTTAACGGTTAACTGGTTAAAATTAACATCCCTAGTTACCAACATTCATCTTTTTTATTCAACATAACAAAATGGCATGTTTGGAAATACATGAGAGGGAAAATTATGACAGAATTCTAATTTCTGGATCAACGATTAATAACAGCAGTTAAAAATCGGCCCGATGTCAGACTGAAAGCCTCAGAGTCACCATTTAATGCCACTGGATGGCAAATTATGCAATGAAATTGAATGGTGACTGATCAAGCCAGGTTTAAGACAACTCTTTGAGTGTGAATAAATTCAATTTGTAATTTTAGAGTGAACTGTTCCTTTAAGATGTTACTCATCCTACCGATCGATTCTTTAAATCAGTGAGTGATCTTTAATCAATAAGGGAGCAGTACATCTCCAATCTGTCAAAAGTCGATAAAACAGCAACAAAAGCGGTAGCTTGTTGGATAGCAGCTGATTCCAGCTAACACATGCTAACAGCTCGTTATAACCAAAACAGGAGGTGCTGGACACACTGACAAGTCGTTTACTCTGCTGCCAACATCTCATTCATATGAACGTAACATTATATAGCCGATGGGAAGCATGACAATTTCAACTTTAGGCAAAATGAAACAAACGGAGTCCTGACACTGACTCGCGCTGGAATGACGATAGCTCGCTAACCAGACTTTAACCTTAATTTAGGATATCGGGGGGCAGTGGAGGATCTCAGTGGTGTGTTTGAGGCCTGAGAGGTAATAAACAAAAGCAGCTCACCCAGCGCCACTTGACAGGCCTTGCGCAGCTGGATGTGTTGGCTCCGCTTCACCTCCTTATCCGCGAGGATTTTCTCCAGCGCTCGAGACAGAAACATGCTCTTGGTGCTCAGGCTTTCTGTCTGCGTATGCCGTCGATGGGTTTCCAGCTCTTCCTGTTCTTTCATCTCTCGGTTGACGTGTTAAAGTAGTCCGTCAGGCCGTCATCGCTGGCCCGTTCCCTGCGGTTTGGCAGGGGTGTGAGGATACCAGGAGCGGGCCGATGTTGTCGCTGGTTCAATCGGGGCCAGTTGGACGCTGCTATCTCAGCACAGCGTCGCCATGTTGGCCGCACGTCACGTCACGTGACCCGCGACCCGCAGGCTCTTACACTGATGTGTACATTCAGAGCACGGCTCGGCTGAGGTGGAAACGAATGGGCCATGTGTTTAGTAGGCAGTTTGGTTTCAGGTAGTTAGTGTAGGAGTCCTCCAAAAAAAAAAAGGGATAAAATATTTGGAGGCATGCAGTGGACATTTTAGGTCTTAAGTATTTAACAGTGTGATCACCAGTATATAATTTATTATAGTCATAGTGAAAAACCTCTAAAAAGTCTCTAGAAGGAAACGCCAATAAATAAAAAATGATTAATACATTTTATTTTCAATAATTAATTATTATTAAAAATAGGTAAATACACTTGGCTCAAAGTTGTAGGTGTCTATAAATGAAGTTAGTAATTTGGAATCATGCACACACACACACACACACACACGTGTGTGTGTGCTCTGTCATCAAGTTATATATGCTGGACAGAATAATTTGGAATATATATATATATATATATATATATATATATAGTTACTAATATGCACTTTGGACATACCGGCAGTAATTAAAGCAAAAGGAGCCCCTACCAAGTATTGAGTACATGTACAGTAAATGAACATACTTTCCAGAAGGCCAACAATTCACTAAAAATGTATTTTTTAATTGGTCTTATGAAGTATTCTAATTTGTTGAGACAAGTGAATTGGTGGGGTTTTATTAAATGTGAACCAAAATCATCACAATTAAAAGAACCAAAGACTTAAACTACTTCAGTCTGTGTGCATTGAATTTATTTAATACACGAGTTTCACAATTTGAGTTGAATTATTGAAATAAATGAACTTTTCCACGACATTCTAATTTATTGAGATGCACCTGTATATATATTTGTAAATGTATAATGTTAACTAACACATTAAAATGATATAAAACAATAAATTATATATATACTGACCAGACATGCTGGAAAGGAAAATCTAGAATAACATTTATGTCATCATGTGACCTTCCTTGTACCATCTGTGTTTTTAATAAACAGATATGAATAGCTCAAATAGGTTGGTATATTTTGTTTTGCAGTATTATCGTACAAAACTTTTTTTTTTTTAAATGTCACTAACCAGCTTTGTAAAGACGTGCTTTTTTAAACAAAAATTACAAAAAAATTATTCATAAACCATGAGTATTTTAACTTGTGCAAAGGCAGATATTAAAAATGAGAAAATCAAACTTATTTGTTAGATCAGCTGGACAAAGCTACACTGTTGAAGCAGAAGACTGCTGTTCCATGCTTTAACCACAGGGTGGCCTCCTGACACCAGAGTTTTGCTGCCCTACACCTCTCAGCACTATGGTGTGGCAGAAAACTAACTTGATATATATAATGTTCAATTTATGATAAGGCTAAAGTAAAAGTAAAAAGAAACAAAGTTTCCAGTTCTTTGGAGTTTTTAAAGTAGCACTGAAACTTTTTTTTCACTGGCTGCAATGATGTTTTAACATGAGGCTAAATAGTTGTTCTTTTGGACAACAGTCCTTGGTCAGTTCCTCCAAACAAACAAACAAACAAAATATCTAATTGTCTATGTCTAATTCTAATAACTTAGCAAAGGTAGATGTTGCATAACACATTCAGTGCCTCTTGTTTAAACCTATCCTACTTCATTCTTCTTATGTTATTTTAAAGCATGTTTTCTTTAAAGCAGTTCATTTGGGCCTAACGACAAAGCTGCTTTGTATGTATTGTAAAAAGCTCTTTACAAATAAACTTGACTGATCGAGTTAATGCTGATCCTCCAGCGTATATTTCAAACTGACACACATCACTGATAAAATGAATTCATGACCAACACACCAAGCAAGGAACATAATCAGTGATTTTCTACATATTAGTTTATTTAATTCAGGATTTGACTATAATACATGTGCAGCTATGTCTTAATATAGTATTTATCCTTTTAAAAGTTTCATTATGTGAAACAAATTTACATCATATACTAAGAAAATACTGACAATTTCAGTACAAATCTATATACCCTAAGATTCATCTGGCAAGCTCATTATCAAAAAGAGAAATTGACATGAATGAAAATGCTTAAAAAAGCCCATTTCTATGTATCTCAAAGCAGGTGCTCATAGATATATGGTCTCCTTTAGAAATGCAAAGATATTCACAGTTTGGAAAATAGCAAGTTATTCTTCATATTTCTATTCCCCCTAAAGGTCTGAGCATTAAGTCCCACCAAAGATGCTAGTGGGAAAAAAATTAAAACACTATTTTGTAGAGATGAAAAAAAAGAAAGAATCAAAATCATGAGATTTTTATGCGAGCTAAAACAAAGCAAGTAAAAATACATAGTCTATTTTAAAATAAATAAAACTTCTGTGGTTACAATCCCAAATCGTATGTAGTGGTTAATATAAAAATAAATTAACACAGCTAAAGACTCATTCAATACGTGGTTTGTACCATAAGAATGAATGATCTGGATGAAGTGTTTATGATCACAGCTACAGTTCGTGTGCTACTCCCAGCAGGTTTTGGTAATGTAAGTGCCATGAAAAGCTCTGTGTGATGGGTAGAGGAACTGAGCAGACATCTGCTCTGCTCACAGATGCCCGGTGTTTAGAATTCTCATCAGCAATTATAAAGTGAGAAAAAGGGGAGATAATGAAAGGCTACTTTGGCTAAATATCCAACAGCAGGTCCTAACTGTAAGAGCGTAGGCACATCTGTCTCCCGTCAGTCTTTTCCAGTGTATCCACTGACACGTACTTTGAGATCTCAGAAGTTCGTATTGACGCTTACAGCTGTGACATCATGCATATCATTATGATATGTATGCATAATGACAAAATGGGGAGAAATGTATCTACAGTCATATGAACTTAAAGGAATGCTTTGAAAGTAAGAGCTTAACATTTGTTAATTTGTCCAGTCATTCATATGAGAGGCCATTTTTAAAAATAATAATAATTATCACTCAAGTAGGAAGGACTCACTTTACCATACACAGAGAGTGAATGGTCGTGAAGGTATGGAAATTAGATGACAACATGATTAGGCATGCATTTTTGCCAAGACTGAACAATAGATTTCAGCAAGATGAAAGAAAAAAGAAAGAGAAAATCCAAGTGAACAAATTTTGCCTGTCCCATATAGTAATGCTTAAACTAACCTAACTGTTACATAATTTCTGAAGGGTTTGGCTGTTACTCTGCTGACACGCAAAAAAAAAAATCTTAGTAAGAGGGGAAGATACTGAATATTTTGGTAGATATTCAATATTCATAGTAATTCACTATGAATCAAGGGTTGTTTTCTCCATAATTCGATAGCAACACTTATTTTGTTAGAGGTAACACTTTAAAATAAGGTTCAATTTGTTAACATTAAATAATGCATTATGTATCATGCACCCAAAATAAACCATTTTTACAGCTTTTATTAATCCAGGTTAATGTTAATTTATACACATACTATCGTTCATTGTTCATGATACATTATCTAATGTTTATTTAAACAACTTTAAATGATAAAAAAAGGTAAATATTAGTATATGCAGAAATGAACTTTAACATGGATAATGTAATTATTAATGGTTAGTTACTGGTAAAAAAATAAAATAAAATGTATAACCTGAATGCACTGCAAGTCGCTTTGGATAAAAGCTAAATGCATAAATTATAAATTATTAAATTATAAATTATAATTATAAATTAGTTATGATACCTAATGAATTAAATGTATAGTTCAACCCAAAAAAAAATTATTCTGTCATCACCACCACATTGTTCCAAACCTGTATGACTCACTGCATATCTTTAAATATATTTCATTATATACCCATACAATGAAAATCACTGGGGTCTAAACAAACACTGGACCCCATTGACTTTCCATGTATGGAAATTTCTTCTTTTATACTCCATAGAAGAGAGAAAGTCACACAGGTCTAGAATGACATGAGTGTGAGTAAATGATATTTGATTATTTTGAACTTTTGGCTAAATTATCCTTTTAACTAATGTAAACTAAATGAACCTTATTGAAAAGTATCACAGTAGAGAGACTCTTCATAAATGAAACAACCAAATGTACACATCAGAGCACTCCTTCGAAACATTACAGATAATGATTATGTATTCCAAATGCCCAAAAAGGGTTATCAAGTCAAGATCAATGGGTAAAATAAACCACAGGTTAGAAAAAGAGCAGGATGATAGCCCTTGTCATAAGGAAATATAAGTGATGCAAATAAAACATATCAGTATGAAAAATATGACATTAATCATCTGTCTTTTTGACTATGATTAAAAACATTTGAGATAATAATAGACATCTTAACAAAGGCAGCAGTCTATAACCGTACTGAAATGTCCGATCACATGAAAATATATCCTAAACATTCACTCGAGCCCCACAAAGGTTCACAATTCCCCTGAAAACCACAAAAAAATCGGGAAGCTGAGAGTGTTAATGTTGCAGACGGGAATGGATGAAGAGCATATTTCAGTTCCTTCTGAAGTTCTGTAGCTCAGACTCAGTTACCATGGTAACGCAGAGGATGGATAAAATCCATTGTACTTTGTTCTCTGATAACGCTAGAGTCTTGTGGCTCGGAAGGGAGTGGTTGTCAAAGTATAAAACGATTGTCATGACTCATACGGTGCCGAGTATCTGACGGCCGTCTGCATTCATTCAATCACACTGACTCAGGATGTTCATTATTACTCAAGAAGCAGCTGTTTTTGGTGCTGTGCTGCTCTCCATGGGTTTGATGATAGGAACTACCTGGGGTCCTGCGGTTTTAGAGAAGTGCTGTAAGGTGCTGTGGTGACTGGCCTTCTCTTTTGGTCCTGGACCAAATATAAAGACATGCATTTTCAGTCCTATGGCACACAATAGTGTGTACTGGCATGTGTGTGTGATTATATGCTGCGTGTGCATCTTTACAGTGTAATGACTGTGCCGTCCTCCTCTAGATTTCGCCCTTCCAAACCCCTGTCATGGGCATTCAGAGACCCCACGCTTGCACTGCTTGCCATGGTACCATTTGAGGGGCGGAGGTCGAGGTGGGGCTCGTACCTGGGCAGGGCGGGCATGCTGGTGCTGGCTGTCGCCCGCGCCCCTGCCTGCAGAATAAGTTTAGCCCCTCCGTCTGCCTCGATGACCAGATCCTCCTCCTCCTCGCTCTCCTCATCTGGTTCATAGTTCTGGATAATATGGGACGGGGTCATCGCCATCGAACCAGGAGTTGAGTAACCGTAGAAACTGGTGCTGCTGTCAGATGATCGTCCTGAGCTGCCGGATGTGGCTCCGCTTCCACTGTTGCGTACCACGTTATTGCGCTGATTGGCCGGTTTGACGGTTATAATGAGGTTGTGGCTGTTAGCGATCATCATGTCCGTTACTTGGTCCAAAGACTTCCCGCTCACCTCGATGCCGTTGACTTCGAGCACCTCGTCGTTGACGGCCAGCAGTCCCGTGCTCTCAGCCAGGCCTCCAGGGACCATGCGGGAGATGAAGATGCCCGGGACCTTTTCCAGGCCTTGGGGTGTAACGCGTACGCTGAAACCGTCGCGAATGTAGAAGCCCAGTGGTTTCTCCTGACCATGTTTGTAGAGACGGACACGGCGGTGTGTCTCTGGTAGGATGTCCACATCAATGATGGAGGACACTGGCCGGAAATCTTTGGGCAGGCTGATGATAATAAGAGGCTTCTTCTTGTTGGCGTCCGGGCGAAGGAGGACAGCTGCGAGTGCCGCCGGGGTCTTCTTACGGGTCACGGTGTCCGTGCCGAATGCTGAATAATCTGCCTCCTCTGCACAAAAGGAAGAAGAATGAGAAAGAGAATGTAAATATGTAACGCTTGTGTTAGACATTGCAACTTAAAGGAATATTGTGGGTTAGAAACCAAGTTTAGTTTATTTAGTGATGGGTTACAATGGTCAAGTCATTCAACCATAAAATAAAAAATTAAACTATATTTTGTATATATTTGATTTTTGCTTGTTTTTAAACAAAAATAAAATGGTAATATAGTAAAACAACTAAAAGTGTCTAGGCATCGACACTTTTCAGTGGCTTTGTAAATGCAGTACAATATCTGCATATTGTTGTGAATGTAAACAACCACTTTGATCATGTTTAATTTAAATAATAAATGAAAATAATTTAAACCACTTTTATTTTTTGTTAGCTTTTACTTTATTTAAAAATAAAATAAAATAAAATAAATTAAAATGGGCAATATAGTGCAATAACTAAAAGTGTCTGGACAACGCATGCATATCATTGTGAATATAAACGTACATTATTTGTGCATGTTCATAATTTTTTAATTATTTATCACATATTCAATTTCTCATGTGTGTTTTTTTTTGTCTTGATGGACTATTCCCACAGCTTTGTAAGGAGAGACCTGCAGGGGATACCATAGTAGAGAATGCCTGCTTGTTAGTTTCCCTCCGCCCCTCAGCTAATGTGTAATCTACTGTAAACCCAAGCCTCCTTTCAACCTCTCTCTCTTTTTCTCTCAGCTGCCATTTATGAATTCCTCAGAGGCTTAATCACAGCCTGGACTTTCACCTGCAAGACATTCATACTCAGATCAAAAGGAGAATAGAGTAGGAAGGGAGAGAGGATATAAATGTATGTGCGTGAAGGCTGGAACTGTCTGAGAGGGTTTAAAGCAGTACCATGCATTTTTCTGAACTCCCATTAACCCGAATGAACAATGGTTAACCTAAGAGATGTAATTATTAACAAAAGCCACCATGTTATAAGATTATAACTAACATCTGTATGTTATTTACTGATCTTTTGTATCCATGTCAGACAAGGGTTGTGATGTTTTTGTGGATTTTTTTATGCCATAAACCTGAATTGTAACTCAAAAACAAAAAGTATCTTCCTCCACTGTGTTTGTTTAACCAGGACCATGTAAGCAGGGACGAAGCTGTGTGATCTAGCATGCGAATAGATTTCACTTCAGCCCAAATATAGTCAAAACACACTCGCACACACAAGATTGATTGTTCGGTAAGAGCAAAGGTCCCCCCCCGCCAGTTCCCACCAGAAAACTACCTGGATTGTCCTTGTGTTTTGTTTCAACATGAATATGCAGCCCTGTGTTGAAATTTTAACAATCATTTGGCAACTTGCCATCAATACCTGCAGACATCATAAAAATGTCTTTCTGACCTAATAGAGCTGAGGTTTATTCACAAACACGCAGCATGCACACACAAGTCTCAGCTATGCAAGTTTGGCTGGAGCGGTCAAGCATGTATGGAGGTCTTTTTTCATCTCCTCCAGCGTTCTTCTCCTCTCTTCCTTCCTTATCTGCTCCACTCTTCCATATTGAAGTGTAACAATGGCTTCATAGTCAGAGTTGAAGGGCAGCATGGGAAGTCCCTGAGGACCACTCAAACAGGCACAAACTAGCTCTTCTGTTAGCTCAGAGATCGAGAAGAGAAAAAGTGAAAGGATGCATAAAAGCAGCTTTTGATATATGGAAACCGCATCATGTTAACGGACACACAAACCTCTATCATCTCACTTCCTGAATGCAGGACAGCTGGCTCTTTGTGAAACCTGACGCTACAGAAACCAGTCCGGTCGTAATGGCTCATTACAAACATGTTGGAGACAGTCCACACACAAGCATACAGGCCCTTTTTACACCCCTATCATGCATTGGGCTCCTTACAATCATTAGAGGCAGGCCCGGGATACGATCAGCTATTTTTGAATTATGGCCTGGAGCAATACAATACAAATTTTAAAAAATCATGTATTTGTTGACTTAAGATTGATGATTAGTCAGTCATACATTGATTTATGACTTTTGATTTATGTCATTCATAATTACTATTATTTAAAATAACACACACACACACACACACACACACACACATATATATATATATATATATAGTTTTTTTTAAAGAAATTAATACTTTTATTAACTTTTAAAAGAATGCTGCTCTTTTAAACTTTGATCATCAAAGAATCTTAACACTGATAATAATAAATGTTTTTTAAACAGCATATCAGAATGATTTCTGAAGGATTATGTGACACTGAAGACTGGAGTAATGATGCTGAAAACACTAC